AGGGAAGGGGGAAAAAATAAGAACCAAGAGACTCATGTAATGGTACAAGATCCCAATGATGAATGTAACTATTGTATACCTAAAATGTACCAATAAAGTTAATGGGGAAAACAAAACTGAAGGGAAATCTTAGAAAAGAGTGATACCAAGAAAGGGAAGCCAGACTCTATGTATAACTTCCCGAGTCTCTTGCTGATCCCCAAGCTGTCCATGTGTGGGGCAGAAACTGAAATATGAACTTCTTCCCAAGAGACAGAGTTTATAGTTTGAGTCTAAGCAAAGTGACTGCCTGAGAAAACCAAAGCATATTCATTCTTCAGAGAAATATGAAAGAATCCCTGTGTTCAGTGAAAGCAATTCACCACAGCTAGTCTTTTATTTCTTTATATTTTATACCCTTTCATGCTAAATACATTTTAGTATGTTCAGAGAAATTTTGCAGTTCTTTTCAGAAAATCTGAAGAAAGAATTCATGAAATCTACCTTGAAAACTAGGCAAATTGTTAAAACAAGGGCAAAGATGAACTCAAGAAAAATACTGTTGTTTGGGCTGGGGATTTAGCTCAGTGGTTCTGCCGCCTGCTTCAAATGCGAAAGGACCAGAGTTTGATTCCCGGTACCAAAAAAAAAAAAAACAACTGTTGTCTGAGATTGTTTTTGCACTCCTTCCCGCTCACAAACAACATATCAGAAATCCAAGCAATGTACAGCAGACTTTCTTTGGCCTTTGTGGTCTCAATTTGTCTCTTAAACTACAGGGATTTTCATAAAGCAGTCACCAGAAATGACAAACACCTTGAGTCATTCTCTGAGTGGCCAACTCTACCTCTAGCTTCTGTAGGAAACATCTGTAAAAACCAAGAGATTCTTAGCAGCTGGTTAAAAGAACAGAATAATTTGCCTTCAAAACTCCTCCTCTTGGAAATATAATATGTTTTTGTTTTTTTGGAAGACAAATGGAGAAAATAGTCTCCTGGGGGCTGAATTGTATGCAAATCAAAAGAGGAGGGCATAAAAGAGACTATTCCCTCTAGGTAGTTGCAGTTATCCGTACACCCGTGATATTCACGTGCTGCCTCCAAAGCAGCCGGTGTTTCTTTCCCATTGTAGCCTTGATTCAGAACACTGCTGACTGAGTGCCTATATGCCCATGACTCTACTGAGCACTGTGCAGAAGCCCACACAGTATTAAGACATGGTCTTCCTGTGACTACACCAGTGAGACTGCTTACAATTCAACAGCCCATTCTGAGTTTGCTCTAATAAGTCCCCCAGTGCTTTCACGCAACATCAACTGCACCTTCTCCAAAGCTCCATGGCACCCCTCAGTGACCTCAGCTCAGGAGAGTGTGTGGTACAGAGTTGGTGTTTAATAAATATGAAATACTTTTTTAAAAAACTATGTACTGCAATGAATATTCTGTGTATATAATTTCATATGTTAAGAGCAGGCTGGCCCCCGCCGCCCATACCGCGTCACGTGGGAGGCGGGATCAGTACGAAATAAATCAAAATGAGTTATGCAGAAAAGCCCAATGAAATCACAAAAGATGACTGGATGCAAAAGCTCAATAACTTACATGTCCAGTGAGCAGACATGAATCAACTCATCATGAACTATCTGGTCACAGTGGGCTTTAAGGAAGCAGCAGAAAACTTTCGAATGGAATCTGGAATTGAACCAAGTGTGGATCTAGAAACACTTGATGAACGGATCGAGATTCGAGAGATGATTCTGAAGGGTCAGATTTAAGAGGCCATCGCCTTGATCAACACCCTCCATCCAGAGCTCCTGGACACAAACCGCTATCTTTACTTCCATCTGCAGCAGCAGCATTTCATCGAGCTGATCCGCCGGCGTGAGACTGTGGCGCTGGAGTTCACCCAGACACAGCTGGCAGAGCAGG